ATCTCCTTGCAGCTCTATACACTTTTTATATTTGATAATAACTGTCTTGCACTTCAAAATAGTCATTGACTGCTGACATCACTTCTTCATCGTTGGAAAATCTATGACCACTGAACAATTTTTTCAAGTTTGGGAACATAAAATAATCCGAGGGGGCTAAATCTGGCCAATAGAGTGCATGAGGTAGCAATTCAAACTTTAATTTGTTAATTTTAGTCATTGCAATGAAGGATTTGTGAGCTGGTGCTTTGTCTTGATGAAACAACACCATTTTCTTAGCCAACCGCGGTCGTTTTTGCTTGATTTTTTCACTTAAACGTTGCAATAAGTTCGCATAATACTCGCCGTTGATAGTTTTAACTTTTTCAAATAAGTCAATGAAAATTATAACATGTGCATCCCAAAAAACCGATGTCATGACCTTATCTGCAGATGAAACTGTTGTCGCCTTCTTCGGAGCAAGATTCACAATATATATAATAAATATTTCGTTCGTATAGGTGAATGGGTAAGTTGGGATTCAAGTAACAAGGTGATAATTGAAAATACTTCTGAATACTACTTACTCACACATACAATCGATCGCTTCAAAAACACTTCACCAACTTTCTTCGAAAACTTATGATAATTTATCTTCCATATTATCTGTTTCAGTATCACTGTCGTCATAATTAATAATGAATTTATTTCCACCATTAATGTGGAGTTTCCAATCTCCATATAGTCTTTTTCAAATAAAATTACTTTTTTAATCCTTTTCTGCCAGTTTTCTTCGGTAATATTAAATACTTCTTTTTTAATCAACTCTATTACCATCAGTCTACCCTTTATTCATCTAATTCTGAAGAGTTTTGTCACAGCAGCTCACGTTATGGCCGTATGTATTCAATTTCTTCCCTATGATTTCAGTTGTAGGAATCTCATTGCTTTTCTAACAGTCGTATATTGTTTTTTTTAATGATTTTATCAGATGAACATCCAAAGGTTTTGGTAATCCTGCATCACATCACGTCTTGCGTTCATAACGTTTGTTTTTGACTATTTTTCGTACAGTTGAGAAAGCATTTCGGTCAAATCTGATGTTCCTTGTAATAGTTTGTTCCCTCGAAACCAAACTTGAGATGAAGATTCTTATATATTCTTATTCACTGATATCTATTTTTCGCACTGTTCACCATCGCTATTGGAATCACTACACTGGAAAAAGTCTGCGTTGCTATCACACTCGTTATTACTATCAGTACTTGTCCAAGGACGCCACATTTTAAACAGATAACAAAAATTTCAAGTAATTATAACTGCACCAATATCGAATTTCAACACTCAATTCGCGATCAGTTCCTGAACTGAACACGACGACGATAACCATCCCAGCATTCCCGATTTCTATTCCTCACCGTAACATGACTTCAAATTTAATTTTATGACTCTTCAGCCAATCATAAAACTCGGTTATTAAAAATTATCCAATACGAACCGCCAATACGTGGACTAGTTCGCAGCCGGTTCATTTCTATGTATTGGTTTTTTTGGCCTTTGAGAGTCCCGCCAAAGTTTAAACGAGCAGATTATCGTTTACTTCGACTATACCACACGTTTTGAAATGCCTACTAAGTCTACTAGCTCGCGCACTTTTAGTCGACGATCGTTCAGTACCGCTTTATAGATTTTCTTCGCCGTTTCTAGACTCGTTTGGTCGACCACTGCGACGCTCGTCTCGGCAGCTCGTACGGCCTCGTTTAAACTCTGCTACCCAATATTTCACTGTTTTAAACGAAGAGAGCAGACTCACCCAGAGTAGAACCCAATTCAGCTTTCATATTGGATGGGCTGAGGCCTTTCAAATAAAATTATTGTACTACATAACGATGACCAGTTTTCTCCATTTTCACAAATTCACCGAAAAAGTTCGCTACTGTTGGCTGTCAAACAGACACCAAACAACGCAGCGTCTTCAAACTTGAAATATATGCTTTATAGATCGTGTACTGTCTAATACAGAAATATTTTTCAAACAACTACCGCCATCTCTAGATCAGGCCTGGTACTTCTTTCGTATTAAATATGTTTTCTAGTAATGTAACTGGTAATTCAATTAAAAATTTGGGGTCTGTTTCGGGAACCGTAGAATATAGCTCAAACGATTTTAAAAAGTTTAAAGAGCATAATGAAGGCTTTAAGTACTTTTGGTAAAAGAATCGAGATAGTTTTCTTCAAATGTATTTGATCCTGGAATGGTTGAAATTATCAACCTTTTGTTGTAGGTAGTTGCAGTCAAATCATCGATATATTTAGAGAGAATTATGTAGAATTTAGTTCAGTATTGAACTGCGGATTTGTAAACTGTTTATGAAAATATCGCATCCAAGTGTTATTCAAATTCCAACAACAACAACTTCAAACTAGTTTTTTCCTGCCTACCTAGGTTCTCTTCAACAATTTCTTCGCGCATCTAGCAACTTTGTACCCACTAAAACTAAAAACATACGAGGATCTCTTCGATTCTCTCCGCATATCAATAACTATCTGGTTTCACGGCCGAGATACCATCTCAGTCCCGATGTAAATCCGAAGCAGAGACAATAAGTCGACCGTTTGAATTTTATATATATCACAAACATCTCTTATAATCGTCCACACCATATAATTCAATTAGGAATAACCATATACAACTAGTCATAACGGCCCCTTTATTTTAGTCTCTCTGAAGCACAAACGGCATAACGATAAATATGCTATCATTAAGTTTTAGTTTTAATGGTGGTTGTCATATTCTCGCACCACCTCGATAAACTCTCCTGTATCTGATGAACGCTAACAAATAATTAAGAGAGAACCCAGAAGAACGAGACTGGCAGGTAGGGCAGATGAGGATTCCGAATAAAAATATTTTATGTGTCTACAGGTACCACATTATATTAAATCAAATTATAGTGATCTATGGAGATGGTATCTCCGGCGACATTCTTCGACTTAGTTTGTTTAAACGTTCCTAAATAGTGCCATTAGGATGATGTATGTCCTTGTTGAGCGGGAAATTAAAGGTTATGTCGAGTTATGTCAGATATCTCGAACATTTCTAGCAGTTGAATATTTCTAATGTTTACAGAAACCTGGCTTCACCGCTATTTCCTACACAACCTTTTATTGTTTCATTTATTTCACTTACACAACATATAAATATACAGAGTGAGCCCTTGGAAATGTTCCACAGAGCCGGGAAAAATACAAAAACACTTTGAAGGTGATTGTTTGAAGGTGGTAGACAATGTTTCATAGTGAATTTCACTAGTTCGGACTTCCATTGTCTAATGTAATATGATATGAAGAGTCTGGTTGATATACCTTGACGACACCTCCGTAGTATGGAACCATGGTAATACAGAAATAGACACCCTTCTGGAGCACATCAACAACGTAAGACCTTCCATCGCCTTCGCAATGGAGAAGAATCAAACCACTATCAATCTAACAAAAGAGGAATCATCAAGACTCTAGTGGACCGTGCTTTCAGGCTCTATAATACGAATAAAGGTATTGGGAAGGAACACTGGTTTGAGAGGAAGTTCAAAGAGGCTGCATATATGTTGTCTAACGGTGAATTCAGCCAAACTAGCGTAGAAATACGGAACACTTAGAAAGCTATAATCAAGCTAAGAACGTTCAACTCCCACCAAACGGTCATCTCCCGCTGAAACAGTGAAGACGGGATAGGTGAAAGCACTCGAAAGACCTATAAATAGTCATCTTACGGCGGAATGTCATCACCCGACGATTTGTATATGTCAAAACTATAATATTTTCCTGGTTTTTCTGGTTTATTGGCCGTGGTCAGATTCTCATGCCTTGTGACTATCAGTGGCAATAAGAAACAGATGCATTTCTCCGGTTGCTCTTACAATGGATGATACTACATTATTGGAAAGTGATTCATTCCATTAGTGGTGGGCGTCGCTGCATTCCTATTGATTGAAATGAATGGCGTGATTTGTGTGGAATTCAAACAGGGCTCCTCATATGTGCTCATTTGAATAACAGATTTCAAGATTGCTGAATAGGACGAAGAGGTGCAATTGAATGAACTCCTCAGTCACCCGACTTAGTCCCTCAGATTTTTTATGGGAACATGAAAAAAAAGAAGTGTCTCGCACTTCACCTGACTTATTGAAAGACCTGCGAGAAGCAGTGATTCGGCGGTTTGAAGATAACCTGAATTATTGTATGTTGCTGTAATGTATGTATACTGGATTATCAAGGTATTGGATTATAGAGGTATTTGAGTGAAATCCGTTTAAAGTTCATGTTTTTATGTTTTTAAGTGGACCGATTTTTAAAAGCAAATGAAAAATGGATAGAAATATGAAGGCCTTTTCATTCAATTTGCATCCCCATTAAAAAGTAAGGGATGACACTGCCACTTAGAGGGCTGAAGGTTTCACAATGGTTTTCAAATCAAATGTTTATACATACCCCACAAACAAAAGTGTTTCTGGATTTGTATGAAAACTATTTTTCTGGTATGCTTTGCGATTACTTTTCGAAGGCAAACCCTGCATAATTCAGGTTAGGCCAATAACAAAGAAGCACGTCCAATTTATCAGAGTTAGGGCTGTTTTCCATCAAAACATATTATAAAGTAATGTTCCCCACTGTGTATGTTTCTCTTTGTATAAAGAGGATCAACTCAGAAGCTACCGAATAGATCTCAATTATCTTTGAGATACTTCAAAGCAATTCAATACATATTGTTCTTCTTTTAGAAGTCTACAAAAAAATAGTGATAACTGGAGATAACTTACGATACCCACTTTAATGTTTAAAATAATATGGTCACATATAATGTGGCAATTGGAAATATATTTAGATGGATACAATATTGATTCTTATCAATTAAGTAATTGCCCTTCACAATATAAAACTCAAATCAATATAGCGGATGGAACTTTCCATAATCATGACAGTAACATCACTCTTTATGTATTTACAAAACAAACACTTACCTTGCTTGCATTTTGGCCACACACACTTGTTCAGATCATTCAGGAAAAATGTTGGCAGTCTCACTGGTTCTGAATTCTTAGTGTTTAGATTTCTGTAAAAGAAATAGTCTTGAGTTAAATCTTAATTACCTTCATTTACTATTTGAAAACTCACCTAAAAAAAATATCAATTTTCTTGCTTATAGTATATTGAGAAGTCTACATTTTTCTTAGTAAATAGATGGTTGTTAATAGTTGTTAGACTGCTGAGTGTGTTCGATCTAAAGCTTTCACTACTGACTTTTTGATATACTAACAATATATACAATATGATGATATATGGCTGGCCTATGAAACTGTTTCGAGTAATGATTCTTTGGACTTTGTTGATACGGAGATTTCCATCCTGACTTATCGGTATACATCTGGCCTATCATTTAGTAGCATGAATGTAAAAGAATCACTTTGTTGTAGGCTTCAAGTTAGCGAACTTACAGAGGGTTCACTGTTTTTTATTTCTCATGAATCTTTTGTGGAATGTTATCTATGATTTGCTGTGATGACAAACTTGAGATGGTTTGTTAACATGCATGTTAGATCTCGCGTTCTCCTACTGAGAATGTTTTGTGAAAGGTTTAGTAACATGTTTCTTCACCATAGCTGATTTCATATGGTTCTTATAATAATCTGAACAGGAATAATCGCCGTTTCATTCATTTTAGTCCACTGATTGTAATATACCAAATACTTAAATTTTCATTTCCACAGATCTGGGATTCCACTGAGGAGTTTGCAGCGTTATTCATTTGATAAATCATGTAATTTCTCTGATTTGCCAACGTTCTAACAACATCAATTTGAATTCAATGTTTATTATTTACGTTATTATATTTCAGGGTTAAGACTATACTTGAATGTCAATGGTATTCTTCTTCTTCTTAAAATTCATAGAGACCTTATATTGCATAGTCTGGGCAGAAGATATAATTGTCTATGAAAAGTGAGGCCTAGACAAAGATGGAGGATAAATTAGTATAACCATTTCATGTAATTTCTCTGATTTGCCAACGTTCTAACGACATCAATATAAATTCAATGTTTATTATTTACGTTATTCTATTTCAGGGTTGAGACTATACTTGAATGTCAATAGTATTCTTCTTCTTCTTGAAATTCATAGACTCCTATATTTCATAGTCTGAGCAGAAGATATAATGGTATGAAAAGTGAGGCCTAGATAGAGATGGAGGATAACTTACTATATCCATTTCAATGTTTAAAATAATATGACATATAATGAAGTAATTGGAAATATATTCAGACGGATACAATATTAATCCTTATCGATTGAATAATTGTCCTCCATGTTATACAATTCAAATTAATATCTTATGCGTTATAACATAAGTGTAAATATTGTGCTAGAAAAACAACAAATAATTGCGAGAAAATTAGACTAATTTTCATCACTAATTCATTATCATCTCACATATATTCTCAGCGATACTAAATAGATAATAGATCTCTCCAACCTACGTTGGAAATGAAAATTATTGGTCTGTCTAATGACTCCCATCCCATTATTAATACCAGACCATTTCAGACCACATAAAAATTCAAAATAAAATTCTGAATTAAATGATGCATTCCGCTCTAATACCTGTTAGATGAAGGCTATCCAAGGGAATTAGCATACAAATTTTCCATTACTGCCAGAAAAAACTTCACTCTGATTTGTGTGATGACCCGAAATTGTTTATGCAGACTATTTAAACCGCTGTTATGGAACCAAGAAAAAATATACAATGAATTGCTTCCAAGTCCATTCGGCAATTATTCAAATTGATTACATTGCTTTTTTTAAGGTGCAAGAAAGTATTTTCTTCACCTAGTCATCAATGTCCAGGACAAATACAATGATATATCAGATACAGCAGGGCCTAAATTTCATAACAAAAAAGGGATCGATGAAGAAGGACTAAACATAAGCCCAAAACCTCAAGCTGTGAAGAAGTTTGCTGTGGACATTAATGTGTGTCAGGATATTAGGTTGTTATTTTATTTTTTGATTTTTCTTCCAGTTCTCGGTCGTTTTGAAGTGACCTATATATTTTGTATTTTCAATAGGTATTATCGATACATTATCTAGTGAATGGGTTCATAGATTTTTATCTGGCATTCGACATTCTAATGAAAACTGAACAATTATAAACAAAGCCTTCGACTCATCCGACTCCTCTGAAGAATTTCCCTTCACACAAAAAATATATTCAGGATGATACGTTCTGGGCGTAGCTGCAGGTGTCTTGACCATGTAAACCACTACATCTGTCCGCCCCTACACACAAGAGGCATGCACAAATATCGCCACATGTGGAACAAATCGCCACAATCATATTTCACTGATGCTCCAGACTGATGCCATGGAGAGATAGCAGCGAGAACAAACACTGCTCATCTCTCCGTGCGGGTTTTTATTGATATGACTCCGTGCAGTTTGATACATGGTGGTGTGTATTTATAACACTTTATCGAAAACTAATGGAAATATCACGGAAACATTTTTTGTGTGTCTCTTTCAATATAATATTCCCAAGTTGTTAAGGGTATTCAATTATAGCACTACCATATATAACCTGCAGTATAATATAATGTATCATTCACTGAAGGATTGAGAAAACTTTTTTAGGAAAATCACAAATTTCATATGTATACCTAGTCTAACAACTGTTCAAAATATATTTATTTCAACTAATATGTGGTGATTGTTATCAGCTCTGGGATTCCACTGAGAAGTTCGCAGCAATAATCATTTAATAAATCATGTAATTTCTCTGATTTCCCAACGTTCTAACGAGATCAATATAAATCCAATGTTTATTATTTACGTTAATCTATTTCAGGGTTAAGAATACACTTGAATGTCAACAGTATTTTTCTTCTTCTTGAAATTCATAGACTCCTTATATTTCATAGTCTGAGCAGAAGATATAATGGTCTATGAAAAGTGAGGCCTAGACAGAGATGGAGGATAACTATATCCATTTCAATGTTTAAAATAAAATGGTCACAACAGTTCAAAACATATTTATTCCAACTAATATATGGTAATTGTTATCAGCTCCAGTAAAATGAACTGTTACTGTTAAGTATTAATAATGCAGAATATCAGAATCATTAAACTTTTTCAATATTTTTTTAACGTTTCCAAATTGACATAAATAATACTACAAAACGAACTTCTGATAGATGTTTGCTAAAGTTGCAAAAGATGATTCGTAATGTTCTTAATCATAAAGTTGAATTAATTTGTGTAGTAAATTCGCAATGCAGCATTTTGAAATTACAAATTTGTCTGCTGAATTTGCATAACAAAATTACAAAGTTCTTATTGTGATATTAAAGAAGACACTTTCAATATGTATTCACTGAAAATTAAACTAGTGTTTTGTAATTTTTCAGAACTATGTTGAATTGAATGCGTAGTAAATTTGGGATCTACAAATAATAATAGAAATTGTAATAATAGAAAACAAACGCCCTTCAAATGTTTACAAAAAAAGCAACAAATGTTTTATAAATTTACAATACAGCATCTTGAAATTGAAAATCATCTTATATACAAATAATATGCGTTAAAAATTCCAGAGGTTTCTTTGTAAAATGGCTATAGAAATGTTTAACAGTGAAGATATTGTTACGTAAGATAAAAGACTGCTCATTTCCAGACCGTTTTTTGAACTAGTAGTATTTATTCTGTTCTACTTTTTGGCATGACATACGAGTATTTAGCCTGGCGATCAAAATTTGGGAATTCTCTTAGCCGATTGGGTAGGTTTTGATTCATTCGAAAGTTCGTAAACTTAGGTAGTCTTACCTTGTACCAAAGTCACTATTATATTGAGGAAAACAGAACGATACTTGAAAGAAATTGGAAGGGCTAAACCGACAAATGTTTTCATCACTTCTACTTGATTTTTATGAATGAAGAAGAAAGCTATTCATATAACTAGAAATCTAATACCTAGCAATAAAAGTGGCACGTCATACAAAATCCTCCTTGTTTTCAAAAGAAAACCTGAAATTAGTGGCTGCTCCCGCAACTAGTCGCATGAGTTATAGCAGAATAAATCTAAATGAAGGCTGAATAGAGAAATCTAATAAAGCCGCAATTTCCTATGGTAATGTCATGAAACTTTATTAGGAGGAATACCTCGATGGTTGCATTATCTAGAAAGCTGCGAACCCGAGAAACAAAAGACAATTTTCTATAAGGCAATCTGCTTAATGAGTTATGATTATCATAAATTCTGACCAGTATCAATAAGTTACTGCGCGAGGAAGATTTATAACTCTATTGAGTGCCGGTAATATAAACCTGTTAGTATTTGTTGGCAATTCAATGCGGTAATTTTTAATTAGCTGGGATTGGTTGTGAGAAAATCACATTTGTTTAATAAATATTTGTCGTTGGGGCGTATCACTCCAATGCCCTCGTTCTTGTCTGTTGAACATTTTAAGGAAGATCTTCAGTCTTCGCGAATTTTTAATTCATTTGTAATTATGGCGAAGGTGCCAGTATAACCCAAATAACTAATTGTTATTTTGTTAAAGTGGATGGAACGATTATACAATGTCAATATCCTCATCCTCAGGGTATAATTATAATCTCCGATCGATTTTTTTATTTCAATAGATGACTTGAATAATAAAAGTTACCATATATGTAGTATATATCTAATATTGTATAATACTGTTTTTTGCATCAATCTACTGTTTCTTCTGACTTCAAATCTGCTGTTGAGCACGAAAATGATCTTGCAACACTGACCGTGTTAGTATGGCTTTCGTACTTTACACAAACAATATAAAACGCAGCTAATAACTCACAAAACATTAATCAAGTCGATGGCGGTACAAATAAGTTCGCCCGGTATACACATATTTTCAACCTAGCATTCTAGAATCGAATTCTAAATTCATATGTTCAAACATATATATTTTCAATGAGGAATGCACAAAATTTGATGTTTTGTGGTAATTGATTGAGAAACTACAATAATGCATATGCATGATGGATGTTTTTCTGATAGTTTAAGTCTATGAAAAGATAAACATATATTTGTACTTACGCGAAGGATAAAGATAATTTGTTCCTGCTTCCAGGAATTCATTATTGCGGCACCCAAAGCGGACAGCTTCCTCATGCCTAAATGTTGATTTGATATGTAACAAACACGTTGTTTTGGCATGTTCATAACCGCTGCTATATGTCTCGCTTCAGTTCGGCCGTCGTCTAGCACCATTTGGTGAACTAAGCTCTTGCAACCACGTTTGGATTCAGCTGCTCGAAATTTCACTGTAGTAAATGATGGTACACTGAATCCAACTCATCTTTGATTTGCGAAGCTTTTATTTACGAGTGGTGCTATCTTTTCGGAAACTTTTCAGACCTCCCTCGTATTCGCAATGACTTGTTATTTTTTGGTTTCTCAATCTTTCAAATTTCAATCAATACAACATAATATTGTGTAACGTTAGGCCCCCACACTCCGGCATTACTCACGAGCATAATTATTGATCAAGTCGTCATTCGTGAAAACCAACTCGGTGCTACGGTTTTCGAGGCCACTGGTATTCCCATATGAAAATTTATAAAACAAGCAGTTCTTGCGATTGGCTTTCAATTCAGGTAAAGATTTCTCCTGTAACGTAGTACCGTCGTTTCGCAACAACAGTTTATCGCAAAAATACGGGTGATAACAGAGTGAAAAATGAAGAGTTTCTTCGTTCTTTTCGTACTTCTGTCGTTGAGTGCTGCTGTGTTCGCGGGCTGGAATATTATGAGTAAACAGGAATGTGAATGGAAGTGCGAAACCGAATGCTA